GTGTACGTACACCCAGCTTCGCGCTTTTAGAGCGCTTTCCGGGGTGTATGTACACCCGAGTTGCTGCGTGTTTTCAAAGCGCCTTTTTGGGGTGTACGTACACCCCAGTTGCGTGTTTTTGAATGGCGTTTTTGGGGTGTACGTACACCGGAGTTGCCGCGCGTTTCCAGCCGCTTTCCGGGGTGTACGTACACCGGAGCGGCGCTGGCAGCGGCTGGAGAGGCGTGCGGGCTGCGGTGTACGTACACCCGAACGGCGGCGGCGTCTCGCAGTTAAGCTTCATTTTCTTTTTTTTGTTTTTTTATTTGTTTGCAGATGCCCCTTCGGGCTCGAAAAGAGCAGCCTGGGGAGAGTGGGCTGTGCGGCTGGGGTCTCTTCTTTCTTTTCTTTACACTTTTCTGCTGGCGATGCTGCTGAGCGAATTCTACTACATTCCCAACAGCGGCGCCATTCTTGGCTACGGGTACTAAAGGGCTCTTTTATTCGTTTATTCTCTCCTTTTATTCCTTTCTTCTTTTCTTCTTTTCTTCTTTTGCTGCTCCGCCGCGCCGCGGCGCTGCTTCTGCGCTCAAGCGCAGACGGCCCTCTTGCGGTGTACGTACAGCTCCGTGGGGTGTACGTACAGCTCCGTGGGGTGTATGTGCAGCTCCTTGGGGTGTACATACAGCTCCTTGGGGTGTACATACAGCCCCTTGGAGTGTACTTGAGCTCCTTGGGGTGTGCGTGCAGCTCCTTGGGGTGTATATAGGGCCTCTTGGGGTGTACGAACAGCTCCTTGGGGTGTACATACAGCCCCTTGGGGTGTACGTGCAGCCCGCTAAGGCTCCTTCGGGTGTACGTACAGCCCCCTGGGGTGTACTTCCAGCTCCTTGGGGTGTACGAACAGCTCCTTGGGGTGTACAGCTCCTTGGGGTGTACGTACAGCTGAGGTCGTTGGGGTGTACGTACAGGGGGCGTTGGGGCGCGGCGGTTGTTTCGCTGCGAAGTGCGAGAGTTGTTTAGTCCTGTTTTTGTTGGAGGCGGGAGGGAGAGAGCGTGTGCTGCTCTTCTGTCTGAAAAGAAGTGAAGTCGGGAGAAGCTCTGTAGTCTGCGTGGCCCGCGGGGTGTACGTACGCTGGGTGTACGTACACCGCAGAAGCCCAGGGGCTTCGGGGGCCCCAGACTCTTCAAAACAACTAATCTTCTGCAATGAGGGAGGACCTTTGTTCAGCCTTTTGCGGCCTTTGGGAGGGCGGGAGCTGCGGTGTACAGACAGCTGTCTACGGTGTACAGACACCTGGTCTGCGGTGTACAGACACCTCAACTAGTGCACGAAAAAATGCCTAGTGGCATTAAAACAAATTAATTGCAAAATGCCTTTAGGCCCTTAAGGCCATTTAGTTCAGTTGTAAAGACTCCTTCACAACAAACGGGGCTGCTCTGCAGCAAGGGTTTAGGGTTTAGGGTTTAGGGTTTGCAGGACTAGCCCTGCAGCCCCTCCAGCAGCAAATCCAGTTTGTCTTCTATTTTACTGAGCTGCCGCGAAAGGCGTTTTTGCTGATCTTCCAATGCCGACAGACGGGCCTCAGTGTTTGTCCCTGAGTTGCAAATGGCGAATAAAAATGAAATAAAAATGAAAAAATAAAAACAAAAAGTAAAAATGAAAGAGAAGATGCAACACGCAGGCAGTGTGCGCCCAGCTGTAGTGACACCTGAACCAGCTGCGGGCGAACGGCTCTTTCTCGAATTTTAAATTTCAAAAACACTTTCTGAATGAACTGGGAAACACTTTCTTAATGAACTGGCCTTTCCGCGTGCTGCGGGGCCACCCCGAGGCCAAAATTGAATTTTAAAAGTCAATTTAAATGCAGCAATTGAAACATTTAATTTAAAAGAATTACCTTCTCCGCTGGAGCCGCCTCGCAAGGCCGAGAGACGACTTTGCAGCTTTTCAAGCTTTTCGGAATTTATCGAAAAGTTCATTTTTTGGGCTTCGCGGCTGCCGCTGGAACTGGAGCGCATGGTGGGCGAGCTCTGCAGCAGCAGCAGAAACGAAAAGGGAAAAAGTGCAACTAAAAGGCCAAAAGGGTCGAAATAAAACATGACTTTGGAGACAAAACTGCAAAGAGGAATCCCCGCCACGAAGCAACAAATAAAACAAACAAATAGAGGAAAAAAAACGAGGAAAAAGCAACAGAAAGCCACCGAAACGGAAAACGAAACGAAGAAGCAGCAAATAAAACAAACCACAGCAGCAGCTGCAGCAACTGCTGCAGCAGCTGCAGCAGCAGTTGCCGCAGCAGCTGCAGCAGGAAAACAAAAGTGCTGCTAACTTCGGCAGTTCTGGCGACGTAGTCTAGAGTTCGGAGGTTCTTGAGGTTTCCCACAGCAAAGTCCTCTTCAATCTGCTGAGACTCCTCCTGCAGGTCAAGGAAAAATTGCAGAAAAAAATTAACTCTCGAGTCCTTAAGTTGAATTAGCCACTGATAAAATGTGAAAAAAAAACAAACCGCCTTCTTGTCTGTTTAGTAAAACTAAACAGACAAGAAGGCAAAAAGAAACAAGAAGGCAGAAAAAATGAAAAAAAGTAAAAGCGAAACTGCGACTGTGCGTCGCCGAACGAATTTCAGGTGTACAGACACCTCACAACAACGGCATCGGCCGAAACGCGAAACCCGCCCGGATCTATTTAAGAAAGGCAATTTGTTCGAATTTGGTGAAGTAAATTAATTTATATTGAATAATTATTGAACAGTGTTTGCAATTTTGTTTCTGTTCTCGCCTTTGCAACCTTCATCAGCGAAGGCAGCTCGGGCTTGCTGAACCGCTCGAGGCGGCGGCAGCGCCACTTCCCCCCGAACTCCGAAAGACTGAAAAACAAAACTCCCGCAGAGTCCGTTGCTTCTTCGAGATTAACTTCGAGAGATTGAAGAGGAATGGAAAACAAAACGGGCCCCATAAAGCCTTCGCAGATCTCGATCAGACCCCCCTCCAGCTCTGCAGCAAAGTAACCAGCCGAGCCCCGCGCTGGGAGCCTTCAGCAACGCAGCAGTACCCAGCAGCTGCAGCAACTGCTGCAGCAACTGCTGCAGCACCTGCTGCAGCAGCAAGCAGAATGCAGCAAGTGACACAGCAACTGATCAAGCAGCGCGTGCCGCAGCGCGTGCTGCAGCGCGTGCAGCAGCAGCAGCAGCAGCAGCAGCAGCAGCAGCACGGGGGCCGGCGCGGACCTGCAATGGACATGCCGGTGGTGTAGACTGCTGCAGCCAAGACGATGGTGTGGCAAGAGTCGGGGACAGTCTCGAGGTCCACTGCGAGGGAGTTGGTTTTTTGGTTGAGAGAAAAACTGCCGCTGGCGTCTTCGGGGTGTTTGTAGAAAATGCAGTCCACGAAGGCGCAGGCGTTGTCGAACAGAAGGGCGAACATGTCTGTGCATGAAATGAACAAACAAACAAATTAATTAATTATTTATTCATTTATTATTTATTTACTTATTTTACTTTTTATTTGTTTGTTGTAGCTGCATGGAAAGCCACTTCGGTGTTTGTAGCTGCACTTGCGCACCGACGCGCAGTCTGCAGACACCGCCCCTGCACTGTTTTCCCAAACCCTAAACCCTAAACCCTAAACCCTAGGAGAGGGAGCGCACCAATGTCGATTCCTCCCGGGTAGGCGTCTTCATCGTAAGTGAGTCGAACGCAGATCTTCCGGAGGGCAGAAAGTTGAGAAAAAGAAACTGAAAAAATCAAAGACACACCAGAACGCCCCGCCATGCCTCACGGCCCCCACGGTGTACGTACACCTCAACTCCGCGGTGTACGTACACCCCAACACCCGCAGTGTACACACACAGCAATAAAAGCCGCACGCGGTGTACATGCACCGCAACTCCCACCTTCCCCCTTTGTCCATACACCCTATTACCCCCATTCCCGGTGTACATACACCTCAATCCCCCCCGACCTGAGGTGTACGTACACCTCAGTTATCCTCCGCGATCTGAGGCGTACCTACACCCCATCCCTCCTCCCTCTGGGGTGTACATACACCTCAGTCCCCCTCCCTCTGGGGTGTACATACACCTCAATCCCGGGTGTACATACACCTACACCTTCCCCCCCCTCGGGTGGCCATCCACCTGCATGCGCGCTCCCTGTGGGGTGTACGTACACCGCAGACTCACCGCGGCGGGTGGGAGTGACCTCGTGGCTTCTGTCGCGGACGGTGGAGCCGAGGCGGCCGTAGAAAGTGTCGCTGCGGGCGTGGGGCTGGTCGCTGGCCTCCGAGGCCCCCGACAAGTAGCCGCTGTAGCCGCTGCTCAGCCGGTGAAGCGGCATTTTCCCCTGCTGCTGCTGCTGCTGCTGCTGCTGCTGCTCTCCTCCCACGCCGGCTGCTGCAGCACGCGCCCGCTGCTGCGGCTCGCTTCTGACACCTGCTGCTGCAGCACGCTGCTGAGATCTGCTGCTGCAGCACGCTGCTGAGACCTGCTGCTGCAGCACGCTGCGGAGACCTGCTGCTGCACCTCTCTGCCTAGACCTGCTGCTGCAGGTGTCTGCCTAGACTTGCTGCTGCAGAGCACTGTCTAGCCCTGCTGCTGCAGCAGACTGCCTCGGTCCAGCTGCTGCAGCTCAGTTCGTTGGCCCAGCTGCTGCAGCAGAGCTCCCTGGCCCAGCTGCTGCAGCAGCACCTTTCTTGGGAAGGGATCTGCTGCGGGAAAAGGGCCGCCGCAGGCCCGGCTCCGCAGGCTGAGCTCTTTGTTGAGTTCCGCTGGAGCCAAGAAGGGCAGCAGAGGGGGTCTTGTGCTGAAAAGGAAAATGCGGGGGATTCAAGTTGAGCTCAGGGCTCTTTCTCGAGGCCTCTGCCCTCCCAGTCCATTCCTGGGCCTCTAAGAGTCTCGTAAAAGGATATTTGGGCTTTTAAAACTCAAGAAAAAGCGCTAAGAGCCGCTTTTGAGGCGGAAAGTGCAAAAAAGCAGTCACAGGCGTTCCACTGATCCTGCCGGCGCCCGCTGCAGACGACGAAGAAGGGCCAAACTGCCGAGCTCTAATATTGAAAAAAAAGACGAAGTTAAATGCTTTTAGTTTTTCAAATTGGGAAAAGCCAGACTCGATGAAGTGTGCGCGAAAGGCAGCAGCAGCGCGTGCCCACTGGACGGCGGCACTCTGTGACCGCTGAAGACCAGAGTCTTGAACTGGAGGGCAGGAGAAGTAATACCTCCTTTCCAGACTACTTCGTCACAAATTGTATTAATTTTCGCTATCACTGAAGCCCTGTTGCTGCCATGAAGCCGAAAAGGTGAAAAGTTCCGCTTTCAGACAGCACGCCACCACCTCGAACCAGCACTGAGGCGCTGCAGCGGCGACTTCGGGGGAAACGCCAATTTCACGCAATTTAAATCTCCCCCTCACTTCCTATTTACCTTTAAACGGGTACTATGGGCGAATTCAGCAGCGGGTATTTGCAGAAACTGCAGCCAACGCTGCTGCGGCGGCAGTCCGTGGCCTTCCCACGATGGCACACTCTGCGATTTAGATCCACGCCCACGGCCTGCAGCTTTGTTCATAAACGAAAAAGCCCAACTATAACAAAGTCCTCAGAGCTTGCTGCAGTCCGGCCAGTTTCTACTTCGCTCCCTCGCGCCTCTCTGCCGAGGTTCCGCCACAGGATGCGAATCGACGGAATAAACGGGCAAATCAGCCATTGAAAGACCACTATTTAGCTGCCAATAGGGCTTTTTTAGTGAACGCTGTAGACAGAGGAAGTGACCCTTGAGGTAGAGGCAGTTTGCAAGCTTCAGAACTGGCAGCAGTTGAGCCTGAGCTCGAGAGCCTTGTAGACCTTCACTCTATTCACTGGCTCTGCATGCGCTCCTTGGCAGATGCAAGTGGATCTTTATTGAAAACGCAGAAAGCAGCTTTCAGCCGCCGATAAACAACTATTAACTTCGCAGCAGAGCCGCTACAAGAGCCACGGAATTGCGAGCTTAGAGCAGTGGCTGCAGCCTGCAGCACACGGGCGCATGCCGCACTCTAATCGACGGAAAGCTGAAGAAAAACTAGTGCTGCAAGCTCCTCTTTGGGCAAACTAAAATTGTTGGTGTCTGGTTGCTTGGAATGGCAGCCAATGCAGTGATGTAGACGGCAAAATAGTCTGCAAATGCTGCGCAGCGTTGCCAGCCAGCAGCTGCAGCAAGAGAGGCTGAGGGAGGGCTGGTTGCATATACACGCAAAGTCGTTGGCTGTTTCCTCAGAGTTGGTCAAATGTCTTTAGAATGCTTTGCAGAAGGATATATGAGGAGCACACAGCTGCGCGACGCAAAAGTTGAATTTTCTTACAGGGTTGGCTGGCGGAATCTGGAAAATGATCACAACTCCATTCTAAACAACGCAGTAGAAAAGCAACATGCACTACGTTTATTGTTCAGAGAAATCAGTATTTATTTGTGGCTTGCAGGCCACACATTTCAGGCTTCACTCCCTGTAGCCGCGAAGCCGTATACAGGTTTCTACAGCACCTGAAGTTACTGACAGGTATCAAGTTGATGCACGGACTTCTCCCCAGCGACAGCTGCGGTGAACAGAAGAGGAATTATACGAATAAAAGACATTAAATGATGCAATAAGATGCCACTTTGCTAGTGATCTACTCGGAGAAGCAGGCCAAGCCATGGCTTGTGCAGAAGACAGCCAACTGGGGCGGCCTACAGGCGCCCAAGCATCACCAACGGCGCGTTTTTGACGCAATGTTGCAGAATAATTCATAATTTCAACCAACTTTAGAGTTATCTGAGGCAAACTGGAGGCCTCGAAGCCCTGAGAAAGTCTACCGGGCGAGGCCAGTGGGACCTCCGGCTACGGAATATTGTGTTTTCTGTGTAAGCCGTGGCGCTGCCTGAGTCTTACCTGATAGCAGCTTTTTTTGATGTCGAAGAATAGTTCTTTTGCAACTTATGGCGGCGCTGGCTCAGCCCCACAACTGGAGAGGGCTTCAAAAGAAAGCTATACATGCTCTTCTCCATTAATCTCATTTCGTTATCTTATTTTCTGCAAGCACAGCTAATGGGCTCTTGTGTTCGTTACAGAAGCTGCACGACCCAGGCCTTTGAACTGCGCGTACTGGGTGAACAAGCTCCTGCTTCTGCTGCTGCTTGCCGCGAGAAGCAGCAGCAGGGGACCCATCGAGAAGCAAATTAAGTTCTGCAATTATGAAAAGAAATACAAAAGAACCCGCAAGCTGCCGCTGTGCACCCTAATCAGTCTACGAACCTCTGGGCCAGAAACAGACTGCCTGCCCCATCGACAAAGCGGCGTTGCCAGCCCTCTGGCTGAAGCAGCTGGGGGCCTCAAGCAAACTAGAACTTTGAAAAGCTAAATTGAACTGCATCTGTTTTAAGAAGGCAGAAGAGCTTAACGAGGGCACTCAGCAGCCAAGAAAGGCCGAATCACCCCCCGCAGCAAGTAACCCCGCACTGCGTAGCCGCACTCTGGCTCGCCAAGCATGCATGCAAGGCATCTTCAAGCGACCTAGAAGATAAAGAGAAACAGTGAAATAAATCTAAAGAAGCTGCATTTCTTCGCGAGATAGTCAAGGCGCGAGACGGATCCCCGCAGCGCCCGACAAGCAGGGTGGGATCTAGGTGCACGCGCTGCCTAGACAGCGGATACGGACGTAGTTGCTCGTAAATATCTAAATGCGTTAATGCCGAGTAAGTCTGTCGAGATCTCTGTTAAAAAAGAGTTGTTTATGTTGCTTTTGCGTTGGGAGGAATCAGCACGGTCTCGGCCAGCCCCAGGAGCCGCGGCTGCGCCTCAGTAGCCTTGAAGACTGGGGCCCCGCAAAAACGCGAGATTCGAGTCAAATCTGATATTCCGTGCATATTTTTTGCAAATTTCTATTGTTATGCGCGCGTTTGGGGCCAGCTGGAGTGCCGAGGACTGCACGAGGAGTGGCGGAAGCTGCACTCGGCGGCTGCTGCGAGCGCTTGACGCAGAGTCCGCCAACGCGTTGCATGGCTGGAGTCGGGCCCCGCAGAGTTCAGCACTATGCGGCGAATGCGGGGCGTGGGCCTGTGGGTGGCCCTGGTGCTGGCAGCAGCAGCGTGGCGGCCGTGCTGCGGGTCCAGCAAGCCGCTGCAGCAGCAGCAGGGAAAGCTGCAAAGTGCAGCGGAACCGAGACGGCGGTACTCCCCCCCCCCCCTCTCGGAGCCGCGGCGCAGAGCTGCGCTGCAACTCTTCGAAAAGGTGCATCCCATGTTGACAATTCACTACAACGGATTCTCTCACCGTGGAAGTCTGGTGTGCTACGACATGTTGAACGAGCTGCGCACGGTGGAGGAGGCGCGGGCGGTGATGGACGTGGAGTTCCACTTGCTGGATCTGATGCTGGAGAAGTACAAAGTGAAGAAACACATGCGCATTGTGGACGCGAACATAGTGAAGAACATGCTCGGGATCCAGAGCCTGTTCTCGTTCAGGTTTCCCGAAGTCATTTCCAAAGTCACCCGCTTCATCAAAGACTACGACCCCATCCTCCGGGTCTTCCTGCAGCGCTACTTGCCCCACATTGAACTCCTCGTAATTGTTAATGTTCCTTCTTTCCTCGCGCCCATTCTTCCCTCCATTGCTTCCCGCATAATGGGCATTCCTTCCAGCAAGATCGCAGCCATTGCCAAGGGCAGCCAGCTCACGCGCTTCATGGACGCGAAGTACGTGCCGCGGGAGTTCGGAAACCCTGCGGGACTCAGCGTCAAACACAACGAAGAGAACTTGACGGCTTCCTGCCTCATGCTGCGGGAAATAAAAACGCATTTGGGCGAGGCTGCGCTAACGGAGGACGGCAAGGCGCTGCTGGCGCAGCACGGGCCGCGGCTGCTGGGCATGGACCCAGCAGCAGCAGCAGCATCGCCCGCGACGACGTCGACTGCAGCAGCAGCTAAGCCGCCGAAGCAAGAGGAGGCCCCCACGCATTTTTCAGTTCAGGTGGAAGAGTCTTCTTCTGCTGCGCAGCAGCAAACGAGCTACGAAGAAAGCGGCAACTTTGACGACATCGACTGACGCATAGGTCTGGCCACGAATGGGATTTTTGTCCGCAGCGCTGTGTTGTGCACTGTTTGAAATGATGCGGATGTGCTGTTTAATTCATTCAAGTCTTTTAAGACGCTGTTTCCAGCCAGCTTCGGCTTGGCGCCGTAGAACGAGCCCACCGCGAAGCAGCTGAGCCCGCAGCTGGCGGCGGCTTCAGCGCATACAGGACTTCGGTACAGCCACATTGACACCTGTCTTAGATCTGAATCTTTGTGGGGATAAATATCGACTGCTGCTTTCTCGTTGCTGGGGGCTGTCAACAGGTGCCTTTTTATTGCTCGCGGGTCGCATTCAGATTCGCCTGCACGAGGATGTACGACTGCGCTCAAGTGTGCCTGCGATTGCAGTCCTGTGCTCCTTCGCGGCTGCACTACTCGAGTGCACGCACTATAAAGATACGCAAAATGTGTATATGGAGCTCCACTCCTTCGTGGAGCGGAGCCAGCACAGCGATGTGCCCCGTTACAGTTGTTTTCCGGGCACAGCATTGGGCAGTAGACAGCACAAACCAAGGGAGACTTTTCGCAAAAAACGACGAAAACACAGTTTGTTGCGCTGAACAGATCTTGAAACATTTAATCATGGCTTCAATCTTCGACGCTTGGGGTCCGAGTTACGATGCAACTCCACTGCCGTACGACTGTAGCTTTGCAAGAGCCTAGGCGGAGTGTTCTTTAGCTTATAGAGTGCACTTTCGGATATATATTTTCTGTGAACTTGAAACATTTAATCATGGCTTCAATCTTCATGCTTGGGGTCCGAGTCACGATGCAACTCCAGTGCCGCGCCACTGTGGCTCTGCGCAAAAGCCTAGACGGAGTGTTCTTTAGCTCATAGAGTGTAGTTCCAGATATATATTTCTATGAACATCAAATAAACTGCAAGTAGACAACGCCGCAGCAACGTTTCCCTCGTCTCAATGAATTCCGGACAGACAAAAAGAATAAAAGAAAAGAGAAGCCAACAGTGATACGGTTTCCGTGGTCTTCCTATGCGTAGGAGGGGCGGGGACGTTTAAGAGTCCACACTGTAAACATACGTTCAAGTGTTTAGGCATACTGAATGGCTAGGCGAGAAGATGCTTACGGAAACGCGCAAGAGATTGCGCTGCGCGATTAGTATACTTGAGAACTTGAACAAAATATATCGAAAAGTGCACGCAAGAAGAGCCCTACGCGGTAGCGCGAGGTGATAGCTGAAGTGCAGGACTGAGTTTCCTTGTGTCTGCAGTAATTGACTATGTAGTAATACGTTAACAGCAAGTAAAGAGGATGGGTCTCGAGCATCAATTAGCAAAAGCTGTGCATTAAAAGTTCCGCATTGTTGTCGCCTGAGGCGGCTTGTACAGCCCTTCATGATGCGTCAGAAGACGCCAAACTTTGCAGAAGTGAGCTGTCGTTGAGTTCGAAACTTTGTGCGGCTAAAGCAAGGTCTACTTTGAAGGTTCGTGGGTCATGAAGTGTGCACCTGAAGCTGCAGCTGGAAGCTTTCTGCGGGCTCTTTCCTGCATGAGCGCCCGCAGCGATTCCCGCAAGTCAAAAGCCCCCAAGGGCACTTATAATCTGAAATTAAAGTGGAACTGCTTTTCCTGATTCCAGGCGCCTCTTGGAAGTGATGATCGGCTTGATGGTCTGCGGCTCGTCGGCCTGCTGGCCGGCGATTTCCTCGGCGCGCTGCTGCTCGCGAGCCACCGCCTCCTCCTGCGCCGCTGCGTCGCCTCCGTCGATCTCGCCTGCGTAGTCCTCTGCAGGGTAATAGTTGTAGTAGTACTTGAAGTCTGTGGCGTAGCTGAAGCCGGGGTGGAAGGGGGCCCCGGGAACGGGGGCCGTCATGTGGCTGAACTGCGGCACCTGCGGCATGTAGGACTTGTGTTGAAACCACGCTGGAGGGGAATCGAATTGTAAAGCTTCTGGAATGTAGTTCTGTTCAGAAGCGCTGCGACTGTGCGGGGCTGAATGAGCTTGCGAGTACGCCGCGGGCGTCATTTGCTGCGGATAACCCGCCGGATTCTCCGCGGGCGTCATTTGCTGCGGATAACCCGCCGGATTCTCGAAGTGGCACGGAGGAATGTAGCCAGCGGCCATTCCGTGGCCTTCCCAGCTCTCGGGAAAGCCTTCTACGGGAGGGGCTGGGCTTGCAAACTGCGGCTGGTAGGCGAATTGAGGTCCTGCATTTGGCTGCATCTGCATCTGACCGAAGTAGGCATTTTGTTGATACACAGGAGGAACTAAACCAACCATTGGATACATCGGCATGTGACCCCTGGACTCCCGCATTTTCATGCCGAGATACTTCTCAAGGTTGGTCCTTGTGTCTATCTGCGGCACTTGCGGCTTCGGATGCGCCACTGGTGGCATTAGCCCGCTACCTTGGGGCCGATAGGGCTCGTTAGCTGCATTTTGAGCTTGAGGCTCTTGGATTTCTGGAGGATTAGCTCTCTGCTCGCGAGAACTTGAGCCAGTGGTTGTGCCGACTAGGTTCTGAAGCAGCTTTACCGGGCCGGGCGCGTCATCAGTTGAAGGCTTTCCAAATATGTCCAGCGGTGTGAGGCCAAATATGTCTTTGAGGGAAGGTTTTTTCCTTTCTTCACCTTTTGAACTTAGCTTCGCTCCTCCGTGGTGAGCTCGCCGACGGGGATGGCCATTGAAGGCACTGTCCATTGGAATTCGCCCGATGGGCACAACGGAGCAGTCCGCCGGGTTTTTCATTTTCAAACACTTCTGCAAGGCAAATTTAAAGGGAGGCAACAAATATGTGTTCTTTTGGAAGGAAAGAAGACGCCAGTCAGCAGGGCTTCGCCAATTGGAGCAGTTGCGTGGCAGCTACCTCGGACGAATCGACGGTTGGCAGAGTGCACAGAAAAGTTCTCAGGAAAGCAAATGTGTTCCTTTACGCATTCACGCCAATATGTTCTTCGAAAAGGAGTCAAATGCACTACAAAATCTGCAACAGCGAGGTCATCGATGCAGTTCTTTCAATTGGATAGTGGGCAGCGGTCTCACGCTCGCTTCCTCACTTGACGGTTCGGGCTTGAGAAAAGCCGCAAAGAATACGTGTTTGTTTGCAGTGCCACTCATTGCTTAAATGTGAGTCATTTTTCATTTTGAAACGTACACAATTTGTGCGGCAAATCCTCACGACAACAAGTAACCAAGGAGAACAGGAGAGCTGCCCACCAGGCGCTGCCAACAGCCCTTTGATGCTCTTGTCCCTTCGGACCCTTATACTCCCTCAGTCTCAAAGTCACATATATGCATATGAAAAAATTACATGGAATCTTCCATCTAAACAAGAAATAGTTAGAAGTAGCATCGAGCTTGTGGCGGTCCAGCGGTCGTTGACCCGGGCTTGTCTGGGACGATCTTGGCCCGCGATTGAAAACCTCACATAACTCAGTACAGCCCTTACAGAACACATCTTGTTTCTAAGCAAAATGCTAGCTTTAATATACGACGCAACAAGCTTGTGCGGCAGCCACGGTGAGGCCCTGTGACGGATCGCTAGCTCGGGTCCACAGTGCCTGCTACGTAGAAACCACTGAGCTTTAGCTTCCCCAGTCTTTTAAAGACCCCATATTCATGCAATGATGAGGTAATTCGGGTGAGGCACTTCTCATGTGGCGGGCAGTGTCCTGCAACAAGTACGTGAGGCTCTCTGCAAACCTGAGAACCGATGTTCTTTTAGTAGCGTACACATATCTATGGCATGACCTATTTTATAAAGTTTTTGTATTCGGTTGAAAAATAATTCTCTTCTTAAGTTGTCTAAAGCCTCAGTGGGTGGCGCCGTTTTCAATACGGAATTGTGAAATGTGGAGCGGGCTATTTATTTAAAAGCATTGCATCGTCCAGTCTGGTTTTCTTTCGTACCAAATCACCTTTATGCCCTTTTTCATTTGTATTTTTGGATTGGTTTTTCGTCTACCACTGGACTATGCCGTAGCTGGCCTCTTTCACAGACGTCTGGGCACTGGAAACCTCACTGTGATTGTTAGCCCGCTTGCCGTCAACTCAAGGCAACGGGAACTTCGACGTTTTGTTCCTCAAGAATCAAGGAATTGCAGGAAATTGTTGCTTTGAGATGTGTGATTATCCCGTCTATTTAATTCTAGCGAGGCCGTCGTGGATTTCAGGAATGAGCAAGCTGCATTGTGGCGAAAAACTCCCCAGTTGTGCTATACAGTTTCCAAGCCTGATCGTTCCTTGGATCTGTGGGAATATATTGGTATAAAGCTCAGCTGGCCCCGTCAGTGACAGAGCCATGGTAGCTTGGCTTCCTATTGAAAAGCAAGAGTCCAGCAGCCTTGGCTTTGGCTTGGAGGCGCGGGAAGTTGTGTTTGCGGAACAGAAGTTTGGCAAGTGCATGCAGAGCACACTGCTCCCGTGCCTACTAGGTCCTATCGCGCTATCTTCTATGAAGGATTGGGTATTGTGTGATGCCTTTCGGGTGACGCAAACGAGTTCCGATCTACAGGCGGGTTTTTCTGCGAACAGGGATATTACGTTTTAGTGGCTTGTCTACACCTTGCCAAAACAAGTGGGGGCATTTCACGACAACCCCCCCTTGCAGCCACTGAAATCCAAAGATGAATATGTTCGCTCTTGCGCCTCGTAGCCGCCTGTCGCTCATTTGCACAGTGCGCTAGAAGGAGCTTTGTGAGCCGCAAACGTAGCAGAAGAGTGCCCGCAGGCTGGGGAAGAAAGCTGCCTGGTTATTGCTTTGGCAAGTCTTCTCGCCAGTCCGTGGCCTTTCTATGGGTAAATTAACACTATATTATCAAGTAAGCACTATTAGAGCGCGATGTGTATCTCAGGGCAGAAAATTCAGTGACGGCGAGTTGCGTGAGTTGCGGCGTCGGTGCACGGGAGGATTTAGCGACTACGAGGTGTACCCACTAGAACCCATGAGATGCACGGGGTTTGCTGCGGCCCTTGTTGCAGCTAGAAATCATAATTTATACAACAGCGCATTAACTTGACACACTTTGCAATTATATGGCGTTTGCAGGAAACCCTGCAAAGTGACTGCCAAGGGCTATGTTTCCAGCCCTACGCTGCCCAGCGGTGAGGATTATATGCTCCGCCACACGCAGGACATACTGGAATACTTTAGACTGAAATGAAGCTGATTAAATAGCTTCGAAAACTGAAAGAATTACAGGACCTGGCGCTCGCTAGGCAGCGTCTGGCAGATGAAGGCATGCGGTCTAAGGTAGCCTACCCGCGACTTTTCCTGTCGACTGCGTGGCCCAGACCCCCGCGCTCTGTCGATATGATACTGAAGGACTCTTAACTGTACTTATTTCATTGCAAAAAGGTCATGAAGGCAAACAAGGCTGAGAATAGCCCAGCCGTTTCCAGCTAAGTGCTGAGTTCTCCGCGAAGCTACATTTTTGAGCATCGCCGCATGGCAGGCTAACAGGTAGACCACGCGTTCCTCGTGGAGAGCCGTCGGTCTTGTTCAGTATCTGGTATCTATATAAGGTGGGCACAACCCTGGGTGCACCCACGGTGCCCACAGTTGCGCCATATGCAACAGCCACCGTTCTGAGTTTGTGTTCCCTCTCTAAGCGCCTTTGCTATCCAGGAAGCACCGACCTGGCTTTATTCCATGGACTTTTCGTGGCAGCATTATGATCCAGAAGGACTCTGCTTGCCACGCCAGCGTTGTGGAAGCTGGAAATCCAACACCACTTGCCGGCAAGCGCGTCGGGTGTATATGTAGCGCTTGCACAGTCTTTCTGAACTACCTAAGGGGTCGAACAGTTCCATAATGAGAAACCTTTATGAGCCAAACAGTGCTCCTGCACCAGAGCGGTGCAAGCCACTTTCCACAGAGTTCGCAGCTCTCACAGTGAACGAGTGCCCTGACTGCGCGCCTCCCCCAGTTGTCGTTGAGGGGAAGGTGCCCTGCCAGAGCCGCCACAAGCAGCTGGAATACAGGAGCCGCGTGTACCTGATGGACCAGTGTCCGCCTGCAGATGGTTCGAGTTTCCTAGAAGCTCCATCGGCTGTCCCTGGGAGATCCCCGTCGCACTCTTCTTCCCGAACTCGATCTCTCTCTGTCTCGCCTCCTGTAGAACGCCATCCCCACAGAGCGGGCCGCAGACTGAGGGCTTTAGGTGGTGCCGGCCACGGGGCGCGGGCGCGTTCTTTGTCGCCTGAGCCAGTGGGCCGCGTGCACTACAGGGCCAGTACAACTCAGGAAGGTCACCACCATACAGCCCGCAACCATACAGCCCGTGGCCAGGACTTGGGAACATATTCGAAGCCAAGACGGAGTGGAAGGACACGGGAGTAGAAGAGGGCCACCGTACCCTTCCAGTTGGTGCAGTTGTGTTTCAGTCTTGGTGCGAATCGCACATGCTGCTTTCGCTGTGCGTGCGTTCGCCGAACAAATGACTTTTTATGTTACTGTGCTGGGCCTGTTCCACGGGTCTTTGATCGAAGGCTTCAGACCATCAATCTTCCTTGGCGCATACCTGCCGGAAGTGGCAGCGCGAAACAAAGTTCGAGTTTATGGACGTAATGTGTGCGTCCGCGTTACAAATTGACGAAGATTTGCGGCGATGAATACATTGACAAAGACAAGTAGCGCCAAACAATTTGAACAAGTTCTAATCATGAGGTACCACCCGCTGGCAGTCGCTAGCTGAGCGGTTGCACAAATTTGACGACTGCCTGGCGCTTGCTCTTAGTTTGTTCCTTTAATTAGGCCTAGCTCAGCGACCACTCAGCATAGTTGGGGGCACCTGTTAGATGTGTTGATCAGAGAATCACACGCCATGAAGCGCGCCCGCAGTGAATCTATGGGAAGAATTGTGCCGGCAAGCAACGGAAAAGCTAATTCTGCAGACAACTTGGTGAAATGAAAACAATTCAGAGGCTTCGTTTGGCTTTGTGGGTGAATTTGGACACCACCCAATGTCTGGAGACACCAGGAAATCAACTGCAGCCCTTCAGGGTTTCTGAAACTTCCCATTAGAGGCGGCTGCTTGTAAACAAACACTGCAGATGCTAGAGGCGCCAGAACTCAAAGAGTATAAATATGGGTATGCATTTCTAGAGTGACGACCAGATGCGTCGCGCTCAAGAGCCGCCCTCGTGTGGCATGCGGCACAGGCAGAGGATCCCTTTAACCCTAAACAAAATCTTAAGGACCACGAAAAACATGAGCACCAAAGTGAATCCGCAACACAAACCAGCGCCAGTGCACGATTACGAGTCCTGTAAAAATCTGAGGCGTTCTCATTTTGTTGTGCTACTGTTGGCTTTGGCCTCTGTAGTCCATCGTCTTTGTTCCCTACTTCGGTGTACAAGCTAGAAAATTCACTAATTTTCGCCAGCATCGGCGTCGTCCTCCTCCTCGAGTTCGCTTTCCCAAGCTGCAGATATGTCACTGCCGGTGTCTTCAACTTCGTTTCCGTCTGCAGCAGAAGCGCTCTCTGTTGCCCCTCCGAGTTCTCCCTCTCTACCTTCTTCCCTTTGGCCCTCCAGCTGAGCCTGAAAGAAGCAGGGTAGACCCGACCAAGCAGACGCAGCTTGAGGCTCTACTTCATGTGCACATCCCTTGTTTAGAACACTAAGTAGCAGGCAAGTTTCTGCGCTGCTGAACGTCCTGTCACGTGGCGTGTCTAAAATACAGCAACGAGCTGACTCCAGCTTACGGCGAGACAAAAAGAACATAGCCTCGTCGTCTCACCTTAAAA